GGCCCTCCAAGAAATATTCTTTAAAAAATCTACGCCTTATATGGCCCTCCAAGAAATATTCTTTAAAAAATCCACGCCTTATATGGCCCTCCAAGAAATATTCTTTAAAAAATCCACGCCTTATATGGCCCTCCAAGAAATATTCTTTAAAAAATCCACGCCTTATATGGCCCTCCAAGAAATATTCTTTAAAAAATCCACGCCTTATATGGCCCTCCAAGAAATATTCTTTAAAAAATCCACGCCTTATATGGCCCTCCAAGAAATATTCTTTAAAAAATCCACGCCTTATATGGCCCTCCAAGAAATATTCTTTAAAAAATCCACGCCTTATATGGCCCTCCAAGAAATATTCTTTAAAAAATCCACGCCTTATATGGCCCTCCAAGAAATATTCTTTAAAAAATCCACGCTTATATGGCCCTCCAAAAAATCCACGCCTTATATGGCCCTCCAAGAAATATTCTTTAAAAAATCCACGCCTTATATGGCCCTCCAAGAAATATTCTTTAAAAAATCCACGCCTTATATGGCCCTCCAAGAAATATTCTTTAAAAAATCCACGCCTTATATGGCCCTCCAAGAAATATTCTTTAAAAAATCCACGCCTTATATGGCCCTCCAAGAAATATTCTTTAAAAAAATATTCTTTAAAAAATCCACGCCTTATATGGCCCTCCAAGAAATATTCTTTAAAAAATCCACGCCTTATATGGCCCTCCAAGAAATATTCTTTAAAAAATCCACGCCTTATATGGCCCTCCAAGAAATATTCTTTAAAAAATCCACGCCTTATATGGCCCTCCAAGAAATATTCTTTAAAAAATCCACGCCTTATATGGCCCTCCAAGAAATATTCTTTAAAAAATCCACGCCTTATATGGCCCTCCAAGAAATATTCTTTAAAAAATCCACGCCTTATATGGCCCTCCAAGAAATATTCTTTAAAAAATCCACGCCTTATATGGCCCTCCAAGAAATATTCTTTAAAAAATCCACGCCTTATATGGCCCTCCAAGAAATATTCTTTAAAAAATCCACGCCTTATATGGCCCTCCAAGAAATATTCTTTAAAAAATCCACGCCTTATATGGCCCTCCAAGAAATATTCTTTAAAAAATCCACGCCTTATATGGCCCTCCAAGAAATATTCTTTAAAAAATCCACGCCTTATATGGCCCTCCAAGAAATATTCTTTAAAAAATCCACGCCTTATATGGCCCTCCAAGAAATATTCTTTAAAAAATCCACGCCTTATATGGCCCTCCAAGAAATATTCTTTAAAAAATCCACGCCTTATATGGCCCTCCAAGAAATATTCTTTAAAAAATCCACGCCTTATATGGCCCTCCAAGAAATATTCTTTAAAAAATCCACGCCTTATATGGCCCTCCAAGAAATATTCTTTAAAAAATCCACGCCTTATATGGCCCTCCAAGAAATATTCTTTAAAAAATCCACGCCTTATATGGCCCTCCAAGAAATATTCTTTAAAAAATCCACGCCTTATATGGCCCTCCAAGAAATATTCTTTAAAAAATCCACGCCTTATATGGGTCTCGAAAAAATATTCTTTAAAAAATCCACGCCTTATATGGGTCTCGAAAAAATATTCTTTAAAAAATCCACGCCTTATATGGGTCTCGAAAAAATATTCTTTAAAAAATCCACGCCTTATATGGGTCTCGAAAAAATATTTTTTAAAAAATCCACGCCTTATATGGCCCTCGAAAAAATATTCTTTAAAAAATCCACGCCTTATATGGCCCTCCAAGAAATATTCTTTAAAAAATCCACGCCTTATATGGCCCTCCAAGAAATATTCTTTAAAAAATCCACGCCTTATATGGCCCTCCAAGAAATATTCTTTAAAAAATCCACGCCTTATATGGCCCTCCAAGAAATATTCTTTAAAAAATCCACGCCTTATATGGGCTTCCAAGAAATATTCTTTAAAAAATCCACGCCTTATATGGCCCTCCAAGAAATATTCTTTAAAAAATCCACGCCTTATATGGGCTTCCAAGAAATATTCTTTAAAAAATCCACGCCTTATATGGCCCTCCAAGAAATATTCTTTAAAAAATCCACGCCTTATATGGGCTTCCAAGAAATATTCTTTAAAAAATCCACGCCTTATATGGCCCTCGAAAAAATATTCTTTAAAAAATCCACGCCTTATATGGCCCTCCAAGAAATATTCTTTAAAAAATCCACGCCTTATATGGCCCTCGAAAAAATATTCTTTAAAAAATCCACGCCTTATATGGCCCTCGAAAAAATAATTATTTATATTTTTTGCTCCTTTCCAGCAAATGGCGATGTAATCGTAACCCTCTTACCAGCCAATACCAAATTTCCATGGGTGACACCAGCAATTTTCCGACCTGAACTGGTACCTGAAGAGCTTATGGCTCAAGGATTAACTGTGAGTAGTTTTGGAAGACACGATCTCAACTGTAATATTCTAACCTCTCTTCTCCACTCCCTTCCAGCTCACCGTTGAGGAATATGTTCATGCCATGGAGACCCTGGTCAATGATTATCGTTTCACGATGTATAACATTTGCTATAAGCGGATATTGGTATGCTGGATTCTCTTTGCATTTACGGTCCTGCTAACCTTGCTGTTCTCTGGCCTACAAGGCGTGGCTCTGTTTTCATTGGGTGTCGGTTGGTTATTCCTAAATGCTGCTGCCATATTTTTGTGTATGTGGGTGAAGTTACGCTTGGCCAGAGGACTAGAAAAATGTCTCGCTCGTGTCAATAAGCAACTGATAAAACATAAAATCCTTCTCGTGCTGGATGATCGTGGTCGCATATCGTGTCATAAAGTTAATTTGTGTTTCTTGTATTTCGATTCGGGTCCATGTGTGAGTTTCCTCAATGAATTCTTGGAGCATACGGAACAGAATGGTGGGGAGGCGATTAAGGCTGGATGGGAACGGAAATTGGATATTGATTTGAATGACATTGTCATTCAAGGCAGCACACCAGTGAGGGTCTCAAGAAAACAGGTATGTGGGAGTTTTTATCACACTTTTTTAACGATTTGTATTCTTTCCTAACTGTAAATAATATTTTCCTCACATGCAAATATCTATCACACCAAAAAAACGCTTTTAATATGTTTATGTTAATACATATTTGTACAAATTTATTGTTATAAAGGGTGCCAGGTCAGTGAAGACATAATACATTATTTAATTTCAAGATATACTGGAGCCTCTTGAAAATCCACGCATTGCATAGGCCCTTGAAAAATATTTTTTAAAAAATCAACGCCTTATATCGAGCCTCAAAAATATTTTTTAAAACGAGAAAAAAAGCGTTAAGTTCGGCCGTGCCGAAATTTGGATACTCTCCAACATAGGTATACTAACAGATACATAAGTGGTCCTATACCGAAAATTCAATTACACCAAATACAAATTTCAGCAATTTTTAATGGATATTTTTCCTAAAAACCCCAGAAAGTGGTCCGATGTTGACGACGCATAGTAGGGTGGAACATCCCAAAATAAGGCCATAACCAATATATACGGGTTTTATTTCGGCCTAATTGAGAACAGATATAGCTCTATTTAGAAACTAAGATTTTTGCATCAGAATACATTTCTTTACGCTAAATATTAAAAATACCGAAAATCGGTATGTATCATTAAATGGGGGCTAGGCCTAAATGTGGACTATAGTTCAATGTTTTCGACATCTTCCGCAGGTGAGAGTCTTCGAACCAAATCCAAAACGCGCAACAAATCAGGTAATTTTTTTATTATAAACTAGTAGTGCACATCGAAGCATATATAGGGACTTTGGTGCAACACTTACCTAAAATCGGACGAAAATATATATGGGAGCTATATCTAAATCTGAACCGATTTTCACGAAATTTAGCACACATCATTCTAGACCTAATTCATTATGCTGTGCCAAATTTCGTGCAATTCGAAAGATATTAAGGGACTTTGGTACACCATTTTCATTAAATCGGACGAAAATATATATAGAAGCTATATCAAAATCTGAACCAATTTTCAGGAAACTTAACACCCATCATTTTAGACCTAATTTGTTTACGCTGTGCCAAATTACGTGCAAATCGAAAGATTTCCAGGGACTTTAGTAGACTATTTACTTTAAATCGAACGAAAATATATATGGGAGCTGTATCTAAATCTGAACCGATTTCCACGAAATTTAACAGACATCATTCTAGACCTAATTCAGTACGCTGAGCCAAATTTCGTGCAAATCGAAAGATATATAGGGACTTTGATGCAACATTTACATAAAATCGGACAAAACTATATATGTGAGCTATATCTAAATATGAACCGATTTTCACGAAATTTAGCACACATCATTCGGGACCTAATTCAGTACTCTATGCCAAATTTCGTGCAAATCGAAAGATATATAGGGACTTTGGTGAACTATTTACCTAAAATCGGACGAAAATATATGTGGGAGCTAAATCTAAATCTGAACCGATTTTGACGAAATTTAACATACATCTTTCAAGACTTATTTTAGTACTCTATACCAAATTTCGTGCAAATCGAGAGTTATATAGGGACTTTGATGCACCATTTACATAAAATCGGACAAAACTATATATGGGAGCTATATCTAAATCTGAACCGATTATCAATTTAGCATACATCATTTTGGACCTAATTCAGTACTATATGCCAAATTTCGTGCAAATCGAGAAATATATAGGGACTTTGGTGCACCATTTTCATAAAATCGGACGAAAATATATATGGGAGCTATATCTAAATCTGAACCGATTTTCTCGAAACTTGGCACACGCCATTCTAGACTCAATTCAGTACCCTATGCCACATTTGGTACAAATCTAAAGATATATATGGACTTTGGTGCACCATTTACATAAAATCGGACGAAAATATATATGGGACCTATGTCTAATTTGGCACACATAATTCTGGACCTAATTCAATATGCTATGTAAATTTCGTGCAAATCGAGAGATATATAGGGACTTTGGTGCCCCATTTACCTTAAATCGGACGAAAATATTTATATGGGAGCTATATCTTACACGATTTTCTTGAATTTCAATAGGGTTCGTCCTTGGGCCAAATGTGTGACCTATGCCAAATTTCATCCAATTCGGATCATAAATGCCCCTGTATTTTGTTTACAATTTAACATGGACAGACAAACAGACAGACGGACGGACGGACATGCATAAATCGACTCAGAAAGTGATTCTATGCATATTCTCAAAACGAACCATGTGTTTATCTCGTTTCCTTTTGCCTGTTACAGACATATGCACAAAGACATAATACCCTGTACCACAGTGTGGTGAAGGGCATAAAAATGGGCTTATATGGGGACTACCCCTAAAAGGGGGTGAATATTAATAATTTTTGGTAGGGAGATTTGTTACCATATGCGACTACAACCGATATATCTTCGAACTTGACCTGCCTCCAGACAAAAGACAAACCTGTGCAAAATTTCAGCACCCAATCTCAATTCCTTCAGAAGATAGCGTGATTACAACAGACGGACGGACATGGCTAGTTAGAATATATATATACTTTATATGGTCAGAATATATATACTTTATATGGTCGGAAATGAATATTTCGATGAGTTACGAACGGAATAACAAAATTAATATACCCTCCGTACTATGGTGGAGGGTATTAGAACTACATGCCTTATATCGAGCCTCAAAAATATTTTGTAAAAAATCCAAGCCTTATATAGAACCTTAAAAATATTTTTTTGAAAAATCCAAGCCTTACATAGAGCCTCAAAAATATTTAAAAAAAAGCCAAGCCTTACATAGAGCCTAAAAATATTATAAAAATCCAAGCCTTACATACAAAGCTAAGTTGTCAGGGTATTATAGCTTTGTGAAGCCCCAAGAGTTTGTAACGCCGCGAAATATTGGTCGTAGACCCACCATTAAGTATACCGATCTCGGCTAGGTGAGTCGATCTAGACATGTGTGTCTGTCCGTCCGTCTGTCCATTACAATTTGTAAATACGATACAGACCACAGTTATGGACCAATCTTCACGAAATTTTGCATGTAGGATGGGTTCTGGCCAATGAAGATCCCCTTTTTTTTGATAAAGATCGGTTAATATCTAGGGGATGAAATGGACCAAATACTTACTTTTTATCGGTTTTTCTGGTCGCCCTAAAGTCCGCAATTATGATCCAAACATCGCGAATTTTTACATAGAGAAGGGGATCGGCCAAAGGAATAAGCATGCCTGTTTTGATAAGGATCGGTCAATATTTAGCGGGTCAAATGGACTCTGACTTTTGGGTGAAAAATTACAAAATTTGTATTCTATTGCGTATAGATGTACCCCTGACGGACATAGACCCGAAAAGTTGTTGGTATATCCAAGGGCAGTGGTTGACTTTTAAATTGATACCAATTACATCGTCGTATGTATTGGGATGTGGGAGTTACACTTAAATATTTGCAGGTGCTTATGTATTCAGATATTATTTAGTAACCCTTCACCACACTTGAGGGCGGAAATATGGCGCTGATCGCTTAAAAATGTTCCATTTAGTTCCAGTTATGGTCAAGGATAACGCCTACAATTTTCGGTGACGATCAGATAATTATATTGTGATGAAGTGGACCGAAAACTTAATTTTTTTGTGTGTTTTCTAGTCGAATATAAGCCGAACATTACAACTGAACCCACCGTGAAGGGAATCTGGACAAGTAATTAGAAGGGTTGTACTGAATATTTTTAATATTAGGAAAATGTAAGAAAGATGTGCTGTTGACCTCTAATCGGGAAATATTGCCCAAGCTCGGAATAAACATCCGAGTTCCGTGGTAGTTGTGTAGGGTATCACATGGTAGGCCCCGTCCGACTATACTGCTCCGCTCACTGGTTTATTTTTAAATCCAGGCATAATATTGAATCTTGAACAAATATTATTTTTTTTAATCCACTCTTATTATAGCCTCTCAAAAGTGTATTATGTCTTCACTATGACCTTGCATCCGCACCTGTGTTTCGTCCTTCTCTCTTTCTCTCTTTTATCAACCATTTTTTTTATTCGCAAATCACTATCACCTTTATTGTATAAACCAAAAAACCTATTATTTGTTATTATCAAATCTTTAGGCTGTGGCCCAAGAGCTTTACCTCAGCTATTTGCAACGTTGGGGCAAAGACTTCTTAAGGCGTCGTCTCGATTGGACTGTACAAGAGGCTGGCGTCCATGAAACGCCCCGGCATCTGCAATCATCCATCTGCCCCTGCCAGTATGAGGAAGAAGTTCTACGCAATAAAATCAAAATGCACCTGCAACGCAGCCAATGCTGTGGTCTTAATTGTCTGGGTTGTTGGATGTAATATATTTGAAAAAAAATCGCTATGACACGATGCTCAGCAAATATAAACTTTCTCAAAACAACCTAAAACTGAATCACAAACTCTAAAAACCAAACACGCAAAATCGCACGGAATTGCTAAACAAATTCAAGACACTAAAGAAACCAAGAACAAGTTTAAAAGGAATTATTTTCTATTTTTTTTCTTCTTCTTATATCTCATCTGTGTTTGTTTATTAATTTCTTATCTTATTTTCTTTTATTTCTTATATTTATATATTTTATTTTTTTCTTCTTCACAATTTATTATTTTACTATTTACCAACCCCATTTTTTATTATTATTTATAGTCGTTAATATTATTTATGTTAAATATTTAAAAAGTTTTACCTAAACCTAAACAAAAACAACAAAAAAAAATCAAATATATCTCTATAAACCAAAAAACAACACGGCTTTCTTTAAATTCACACAGCAGTCATATGGTAGCAGAACAACATGCAATGTGTGGTGCATAGTTGTAGGCGCTTAACAGCAAAACCTAGAAATTCATATTAAGTTAAAGTAGCCAAACTTAAATTACAATCAAATAAAAAATATATAGTTTTTAGTATATACAGTGGTCGACAAATGTACAGTGATCGGTATTGAAATATTTTTTAAAAAATATTTTCCATTTCACATTGCATGCTGTTCTCTACACCATTGAAAATGTATGTAGATGGGTGTTAACACCACAACACTCTCACTATCACATTCACCATTTTCTGTCTCTCCATCTCTTTTCCTCTTTTTTCTTAATTAATTAATTTATTTTTATTCTTTTTTATTTAAATAAAAAAAAAACTGTATAAAAAACTCAATAAAAAATTCCAGGAACAAGCTGGTCAACTATTTCTCCGCTATGCATCACGTTGGGGACGAGAAGCCATCCGGGGTTTAGTTGATGTTACCCCCTTGGAGCCGGGACGTCATTGTGGTCAATTCCAGTGCCCATGCCAGTATATCAAAGATCATTTGCAGTGCAAGCCGAGAGGCAAGTTGAAATTTTTGGATTGTGTTTATTGGGTGTTGGCATCGGAACGTTATGAATAAGTGAAAAAAAATAAAGAAACTAATGAAGAATGTTGCATCGTTCAGGAAAAGGGGGTGGGTAGGGATTGACATATTTACATATATATTTTTTAAACAAAGAAAAAAACTTCACATAATACACCACAATAACAACACATATTTTTTTGTTATTAGAAAAAAACTGAAGAGGGTTATGAGGGACATAAGAGATAAGAAGATATTAGGAGGCTTCTTGGTTGATTAAATAATTCTCTCAAAAACATTTTAAAAAAATTTACGCCTTTATAGACCCCTCAAAAATATGTTTTACAAAATCCAATTTTTGTAGACCGCTCAAAAATATGTTTTACAAAATCCAAGCCTTTGTAGACCCATCAAAAATATGTTTTAAAAAATCCATGCCTTTGAAGACCCCTCAAAAATATGTTTTATAAACTCCACGCCTTTGTAGATCCCTCAAAAATATGTATTAACCAGTAGGGAAAGTAGTAAAGTCGGACGGGGCCGACTATATGATACCCTTCTCCATTTTGGGTATATTCAACAGATGAATCCTAACAGACGTCGCATTTTTAAAGGACCAGTAAAATGAAATTGGATCCATAAACATGTAATTCTGCAACCGATATTAAATTTTTCATTTGGTCAGATATAGAAGCTATATCTAAATCTGAACCGATTTTCACGAATCTTAGCACACATCATTCTGGTACCCTGTGCCAAATTTCGTGCAAATCGAAAGATATATGGACTTTGGAGACAGATTTACTTAAAATTGGAAGAAAAAATATATGGTAGCTATATCTAAATTTGACCCGATTTTCACGAATCTTGGCACACATCATTCTGGACCCAATTCAGTACCCTATGCCAAATTTCCTCCAAGTCGAAAGATATATAGGGACTTTGGAGACCCATTTACTTAAAATCGGACGAAAATATATATGGGAGCTATATCTAAATCTGAACCGATTTTCAGGAAACATAACACACATCATTCTATACCTAATTCATTACGCTGTGCCAAATTTCGTACAAATAGAGAGATATATAGGTGCATTGGTGGACCATTTACATAAAATCGGACGAAAATATATATAGGAGCTATATCTAAATCTGAACGGTTTTTCACGAAACTTAGCACACATAATTCTAAACTTAATTAATTACGCTGTACCAAATTTCGTACAAATCGAGGGATATATAGGGACTTTGGTGCACAATTTACATAAAATCGGACGAAAATATATATAGGAGCTATATCTAAATCTGAACCGATTTTCATGAAACTTTGCACACATCATTCAAGGGTCAATTCAGTACGCTATGCCAAATTTCTGTCAAATCGAATGATATATAAGGGCATTGGTGCACCATTTACATTAAATCGGACGAAAATATATATGAGAGCTATATTTAAATCTGAACCAATTTCCACGAAACTTAGCACACATAATTCTAGACTTAATTCAGTATGCTGTGCCAAATTTCGTACAAATCAAAAGATATATAGGGACTTTGGTGCATCATTTACATGAAATCGGACGAAAGTATATATGGGAGCAATATCTAAATCCGTTTTTTCCAATTTTAATAGGGCTCGTCCTTGGGCCAAATAAACGAGCTGTGCCAAATTTCATCCAATTCCAATCAAAACTGCGACTTGTGATTTGTTTACAATTTAACATGGACAGACGGACGGACGGACATGCATAAATCGACTCAGAAAGTGATTCTATGCATATTCTCAAAGGGAACCATGGGTCTATCTCGATTCGTTTTGCCTGTTACAAACATATGCACAAAGTCATAATATCCTGTACCACAGAGTGGTGAAGGGTATGAAAAATACACGCCTTCAGTGAGCGGAGCAGTATAGTCGGACGTGGCCGACCATATGATTCTCTACATAACTTCCACGAAAATCTATATTCTATATTCTGAGCTTGGGCAATATTTCGACATTTGAACCCTCTTGGCCGACTAGAGGTCAACAGTACTAATTTCAGTCCAAATTCCTTTCGCCGTGGCTTGATCAAATTCCTTTCGCCGTGGCCATGCTACATCGACTTGAAAAAACACAAAGAAATAGGTTGTCGGTCCATTTCATCCCAAAATTATTATCTGATCATCGCCGAAAATTATAGGCGTTGTCCTTAACCATAACTGGAACCTCATGGAACATTTCCTCTTAGATATTCTGTCAACTTCTGTGGTCTATGTCTTTAAGGGGACCCCACCCATTCTCGGTTTCAAAAAATTTAAATTTTTATTTTGATGTAATTTGAAGCTACACTAATTCAAGAATGTCCCTACCAATTTTAAAGTGAAAATCTCAAGAATTCTTGAAGATATATCCAATTTATTGTGTTAGCATCAGGTGACAGCAAGAGGGCTTCTCAAACTTAAAACGCGTTTTCCTCCAAACATAGTTTTTGCGAATGGCGGGCACGATAACTCAAAAACTAAAAATCCAATCGGTCCCAAATTTTGACACGTTTCTCTGGAAGTGTATAGCTCTCGTATGAACTAGGATAAAGCCAATCGGTGAACATCTTCCTTATTTTTTAACTTGGTTTGTGGTAAAAAATCGGCGATTTTTCAAAAATATTTTTCCAAAGGTCCACCATTTTGTTAATTTTAGAGCGAAGTCCATAATCCTAGTTCATACGAGAACCCGACATGTACTCTTTCTAACACCGTTGGAATTTTCGGATTCCGATGTTCCAGTGAGTAGTTATCATGCCCGCCATCAAAAATGAGGACATTTTTTAATCACAAAAAACAACAACAAAACAACAACAACAATTTTTTGAAAATTATTTTTCTTCCTTTTTAAATCTTCAAATATATATGTGCAAAGTTACAAACCTTAACATGCATTGGTATTCATTTACCAGCCCATTTAAAATCTTAAAAATAAAAAATCGAGAAAGGGGGGGGGGGGGGGGGGGGGGTTCCCTTAAGGAGTAAATCTATACGCCATAGAATACAAATTTTATAATTTTTCGCACAAAAGTCAGGGTCCATTTGACCCGATAAATATTGACCGATCTTTATCAAGACAAGCATGCTTATTCTTTGATCCGATCCCCTTCTCAATGTAAAAATTTACGATTTTTGGACCATAATTGTGACCTGTGGAACGACCAGAAAACCCAACAAAAATAAAGTTTTTGGTCCATTTCATTGCCTAAATATTAACCGATCTTTACCAAAAACAATAGGGGTCTTCATTGGCTAGAATCCATCTTACATGCAAAATTTAGTGAAGATTGGTCCATAACTGTGGCCTGTATCGTGTTTACAAATTATAATTATATAACTCAAAGGGTCTAGGAGCAATATTTCGCAGCGTTACAAACTCTTGAGGCTGCACAAAGCTATAATAGCCTGACAACATAGTTGTGTAAGGTATCAATATATTATTTAAAAATCAACGCCTAGAAGAAGACTTCAAAAAATATTATTTAAAAAATCCACTCCAAAAAGTAGCCCATCGAAAAATATTATTTGGTCTTCTCTTGTGTTTCTTATAACCGTTTTTTTATCAGTTGTTCTCTTTAACCGTTTCTATTTTAATTTGTAATTGTACAGTTATAAAGATATATTTTTCTAAATTTGTGTTTGTGTTATTTAAATGTGCTCACTCATTCACCCATCGCTTCTGTTAACCACATCACCGATAAATTTCAGCTTGGCTTTCAAAAATTCACAATCACATTTTTGTCATTGTGTACAAATTAATATTTTCCAAAAATTGTAATTTTTTATATTTAATAATATTTTCTATTATTTATATACATATTCACAGTTGTTGTGAATAGTTTAGGTCAAGTAGTATGGACTTGTGCGCCGGGAACAATACACAATTGATAGGCAAAATCAAATACTGTGCAATTACGAATTTTTATAAGAAAATACAGAAAACCAAAATTTGACCCTCCACAACTACATCACTACATACATACAATATACACTCGAATACACTGAAAAAAATATTTTATATAGATTTTTATTTTTAGAAAAAAAAACTATCCAGTGATTTATTTTATTTCTTTGCAATATTTTTAATGATATTATTTAAAAAAAAATTTAAATGTTTACGTCCTTATATTATGTATTTTTTTCTTCATTTTCATATCTTAGTTTTTAAATTTAAAACCTTTATTTTTTTCTTCAATAAACATCCAATAAATACATTTTATCCTTGTGTTCGTTTTATTGTTTATTATAAGTTTTTCGTTTTCTCCCCCCTTCACCTTTAGGTTATCCCTGCAGTTGTGTTGCCTACGGTTCTAATCCACAATATCGTGATCCTTATTAAATATTTGTTTGTGTGTTCTAATTATTTTTCTGCATTTAAAATTTCACAATAAATCGTTTGAATTTTTATTTTCACAAAATGTGTTATGTTTATTTTTTCCTGGATTATAATGGTAAGTTCTTTCAGTTAAATAAAGAATACGTTTTTGAAAATGCTACCGTCGAAGAGAAAACTTGTGCGTATACATAATGACACTGATTATACGCATCGGTGTATAATGTAAATTAAATAAGTAAGTCATCGGATTATTTACTCGGATATCTTTGATCATCAGCGTCATGTCCGATAAATGAAGTAAGCTGACAACATCATGGTTCTCTTGGTTCTGGTCACATCCCTATCATCGTATCTTTCAGGAAACTACCCTACTCTATAACAACTGACCACCCTGCTTTCTTGAATCAATCGCAGTTTCAGAGAGTCACTCTTCTTCTCAGATCCTAGGATAGCAGAGAACACTTTTCTGTTTATATATATCTGTAGAATTAATAACACTTTCCTTTAAAAGTAATTCGTAGACTATCGAAGTCAGAAAACTTGTAGCGTATACATAACGACACTAATTATACGCACCCGTGCTCAATGAGAGAACCATGCCAATTAAATAAGTAAGTCATCAGCCAATTCATACGGATATACTATTGTGTTTATTCTGAATATGTGAGAAGGAAAGGAACGTCGAAAGAGAAGAAGGAGTACGTGTCTTATCTGCCGAGAGATAAGACGTTTAGGAGATTTTTCCGTAGAAGAGTAGTGATTATGTTTCTTGTGTGACACGTCGAATGTATACGTTGACTGGATTAATATCATCCAACAACGACCATACAAAATCATTAATAACCTCTCGATATCCGCAGTAACTGTTCATCGAACCTCATTCTCTTACAAGTAAGGACAAATGACTCCGCCAAAGCATAAACCTCGCCAAAACAATCTTTATCAGAATACGATATACCTCCGCAGTCTCATCAACGGTAACATTTCAGTCCACATGTTGTTGTTCAACGACCTGATGATGCATTGTTTCTACATTTTGACCTCCGCAACAATATTATGGAAGATTAATTATATATCTGCTAAATAAATAATTCTTCCATTAAAATGGCACCATCAAAGTCGGAAAATATGGAGCGTATACATAACGACACTAATTATACGCAACCATGTACAAGGTAAGGAAAATGCATCATCAGCCAATTCACTCGGATATCTTTGACCCATGGTGTTTATTCTTAATACCTGAGAAGTGGAAAAGAGTGGAAAGAGAAGAAGGGGTATGATGGTTAAAATATCGTACTGTGATAGTAAAATATAGCTAAATATGAAATAAATAAAATATAGCTATCTAGCCTGAGGCAGATCGAAATACAGTGACGGTACCCAGAGGTTGGCTGCAGCCCGATGCATGTCGTCCTAAAGAAAATTACACATTTTACAATCCCACTGGACTCAGATGACAGCTACGGCATTGGTGGACTTCCGATACATGCTGATTCCTCGCATTAAAGCTAACAGAAACATTTTCATCCCCACTTGATTCAGACGACAGCGAAGATGGCTAAATCTAATTTCTATTCCAGCCGAGGCTAACTTTCCCAACTACCAACCAATCGACGGGACAGAAACTACTTCCACTGGTAGTTGAGGGCTATTTGTTGCTTGTGCAACTTTTGGTGCACCTATATGGTATAGAACTGCCTCATTATTTCGATCGGTTGAAGGAGAAGCTGGCAACGATCGCTGGGTGTCTTTCAAACCGATTCGCGCTTGAGTAGGCTATTTGCTGCTTGTGCAACTTATGTTGCACCTATATGGTATAGAACTGCCAGTGTGTCGCACTGTTTACACAGAGGCGTTGCAAGTGCTGCTTGGCGCCACACCGCTTGATCTTGAGGTGAGATGTAGGATCATCAAGTATAAGCTTAAGCGTGGCTTGCAGTTGGATGAGGATGATTGGCTCAGGCCTTCTGATGTGGCGGATGGGGATAGTAGACGGTACAGCACTTTCCTTCGGGAGTATATTGTTGATAGGTGGAGGACTTGGTGGAATGTGACTTACGAATTTATTTGTGACGTAATGTTCGTAGTGGACCGGCCAGACTTTCGCTTTCTTACTGACTGGGCATGGTTCTCCCAATACGTTTCTGAATAAAAGTGGCCTGCCCCAGACGGATTTATGTGGGTGCGGGAAGACTGAAGACTGGAAACATATTCTGACAGAATGCTGTTACTATGAAGACATTAGAGATTTAGCAAATATGGGTATATCGTATGGAAGTGCGGGGTGGGATTTCCTTAGATTTCTTGAAGATGATCGGATCCATAGTTGTTTAAGTAGTTTTGCTCTTAAAGCATTTAGGAAAAGGATTGTACTTAGTGGATGTGGTCCTCCTGCATAGACCCCTTGAAGGTGAGCTCGGTTGGTTGCACCGGATGGCGGTGGGTTTTGTTGCTGTGGTTGGCGAGGAGCGAGCTGGCTTATGGCTGTTGCATCGTGTATTGTTCCCGGTTTCGTATATTTCACGAGGTTCACGCCTCATGTGGATATTGTGAAGGCTTTCCGTGAGGTCGGTTTCGTGGAATGTTTGTGTTGTGGTGTCCGTTTGCGGTAGATATAACGTTGTGCGGAAGTACTGTAGGGGTACTTGTTTCAGTCCTATCTTCTAGCATTCATTTATCTTCATTTACATTACCTACCAATTATTGTCTCTCTCAAAGGACCTCCCAAATGTATGAGATCTGAACGCCTTACTTTCCTAATCAACTCTTCAAAGAGCTGTTCATCTTCTTACAATCTCGCTACCTATTGGAAGTAAGAAAAAACTTCCCAGAAGAGGCGAATGTATTTGCCAATAAACGTGATGAACGACCCCGGGAAAAAATGATTAAATAACTTACTCTGGAAACTTTCCGAACATAAAGGGAAAAAATCCTAGTCCTCCGAGACAATGCAACATTTTTAGCTGTGCAAAAAATTTAAGGCAATTGTTATATCAAACTCGATCACTGGAGGAAAAGGCGACAGAACGGCTGTCACATTTAACGACGTAACTGTGATTGACACGGGGAAGTGCTCGTGTAAATTTAATCGGGAGTTTATTGAGCATTCCAAGGGTAGTATGGCGAAGAGCGCTCTCGGCCGAGAGGTTACCACATAGTTCCTAAAGATTTGAATGTAGGCCGGGTAGTAGCGTTACTTAATCCGTACTAGAATGCCAGCAGAAGTCAATAGTACAAATCGATTTTAGTTCAATCTTCAGTTTCAAAAATACTTGAAGATATATTTTTCCCATCGATGAGAATCATTTTTTTATAGAGCTCCCCGAACGTGATAGGTCAGAGATCGGTGTGCGATAAGAGGCATCACAGTCTAAGAGACATAACCATTCCCACACATTTTAGTATAGGACTAAACCAGAACAGATCGTGCAACTATACAGTTATTGGCTATCAAACGGCTTCGATACTGTCAACCATGCCAAGCTGTCCGAGCATATAATGATATATGTGTGAACGCCAGTCAAATATGAAATTACGAATTTAGATAATCGAAGAATTGTAGAGTGAAACAGGAGGTTCACTAATGTGTGGCTATTTATCCGTAACTGTTCACCATCACCAATTGATTCCGACCACAAACTACCCCAACTTTCGACAGCCTTTTTAAGTGCTTCGCGCAAGTAACTGCGATGAGATAAAGAATCTGTGTCCTCATGTTGCTGGCCGGCAGCACTTGGGAGGCTGAAAAAGATTCCCTGTTTATCATTTTATACTGCAACGGAGTGGTCATTGGTATGCTATGCGGTTTCATTGTGGTTTGTGAATTTAAATTATACGCAGGCGAGGATAATTCAGACCTGTCATCAGGCCACCCTGGAAATTGAATGACTAGGTTTTATGTTCGGGAACACTCCTCTTAATAGCCTTATGGACTGACTTTCATCACCTGGGCACATTATGAGAGATACTCATTGTCTAGAGAGAAGGTGAGGTCCAAAGTTACAACCGAGAAAATCTAGATCAACATGTGGCCTATAAGGCAAATGCAAGCAAGCCACCCTGGAAATTGCATTTGGGTTTTAAGTTTGGGAACACTCCTCTTATTAGCCTTATGGACTGACTACCATCACCTGGGCACATTGTGATACGTTCTCGTGGTCTAGAGAGAGAGCTACAACCGAGAACCTCTAGATAAACAGGTGGTCTATCAGACAGATGCAGTCGCTCAAGCAGTATAACAATACTGTATAAATGATATGATCGGAGACCATCTCCGGTCCATAGCAGAAGATAAACAGGTGCATAGACATATAGAAATAGTCTGAACACAGCATAGATTGGTTTGGTTGAGAAAAAATCCTATAAAGGGATCCACGCCTTGATATGAAAAAATTCTATCCTTTTAAAGTATGGACGCTTTGTTTCGAAAAATTCCTATTAAAGGATCCACGCCTTATGTTGAAAAAATTCCTATTAAAGGATAAAGGCCCAGTTGAGAAAAAATCCTGTTAAAGGATCCACGCCTTGTTGAGAGAAAAATCGTATAAAGGGATCAACGCCTTGATATGAAAAAATCCTATCCTTTTAAAGTATGGACGCTTTGTTTCGAAAAATTTCTATTAAAGGGTCCACGCCTTGTGTTTGAAAATTTATATTGAAAGGTCCAAGCCTTGCGTTGAAATTCCTATTAAAGGATGGACACTTTGTTTCGAAAAATTCCTACTAAAGGATCCACGCCTTGTGTTGAAAAATTCCTATCAAAGCATCCACTCCTTGTGCAAAAAAATCCTTCTAAAAGATCCACACTTTGTAAAGAAAAATCTTTCTTAAATGATCCACGCCTTGTGTTGAAAAATCCTATTAAAGAATCTACACCTTTTTCGAAAAATCCTTTAAAAGGGTTCATATTAAAGGATCCACGCCTCGTTGAGAGAAATGCATATGTATGGGTTCACGCAAGGAAAATCCCGTTAAAAGATCTAGGCCTTGTTCAGAAAAAATCCTATTAAAGGAT